GTCCTCCTGCTCCTCCCCCTCTGCACTGCTGTCCTCCTGGACTGGATGATGTGAGTGTGCGCTGCTTTGTTGTTCTGTTTTCATAGCTGCTCTGTCTACTTCTCACATTTTGATTTTATAAATACAAAATGATTTTGGTGTTCATACACCATTTTCTACACATATACAAAAGATTCATGGACTGGTGAAGAATCAGATTTATAGGTCAACTTGGGAAGAATATATCACCTTAAAAACATTGAATCTTTAGTAAATAAGGTACAACTTAATTAGGACTTCTTTCATTATTTTGGTCAATCTTTTACTAAATGTACTTTTAAGAAATCTTAATTTTGATGATATTGTGAATGTTTTAATTTTTAACTTATGTTTGCTACTTTTTAAAGATTCAGTTGATTTTTAAAGGAAGTTTGGGATCATTAGTTGTTGTTTTTTTTTTTTAAATTTGTTTGGCAGTTTGTGCCTTCAAAGGAGTGACCCTTTTCCAGGTTGTTCAGTCCACAGGCCAGTGGAGTTCATAGCATCCCCGTGTGGACAGCTTGCAGTGACTATCTGTGGTCAAGAATGACCTTCCATTCTTGGTTCTCTTTCTCTTCCTCTATTCCTCCTTGTCCCATTCTCCACCCCCTCTTCTTCCTTCTTCAACTCCCTCTTCCCCTAACCCTTCTCGCGTCTCTCCCTCTCTGACCTGTGACCTTCAGTACTTATCATGTGACTATGTAGTTTCTTCTTTGGATCACAGCATTGTGATTTACTATTAGGTTTGCTGTGAGGAGCATTTTGTCTATAAATGTTCTTCCAGTAAAGTAAGCCCTAACTTGTAGAGTTGGACCGAAGAGCACACAGAAGCTGTCCCCAATCTAAGTGAGAGGCAAGAGAGCCTCTCTTATAGCACCGTGTATTATAAGGAAATTCACTGATAGGAGTGAGGTCAACGAAAGAAAACACCTTCTCAACTACAGGGAAAAAGCCTATTCCATGCTAATTACTATGATAGATCATGGTATAATATAATTATTTTAAAAAGAGTTATTTTATTATAATTAATGCACACAGTGTGGTTTATAAGCATGTCCTTCCAAATGAATGTTTTTGTTATTTTAACTTTCTGGAATGATGAATTTTAGATGTACTTTAATTTCAACTTTCAAGTGTCAGATTTTTTTTATAATATATCTTAGTGGGTGCATCCCACATTTTTTAAGTGGTTCTAATGAATTTAAAAACAGGATAAGTAGATAAATGATTTAATAATTATAACACAATGCTCACTGATACATGTATTGTCAAGAATTTCAAATTTATTACGTCTTTTTTACAGTTCCCCATTTCTTATGCATTGTTTATTTCTTCTGCTCAAAAGCCCGGACAGTGTGTTTGAGCGCTCCTTTCTCACTATTAACCACTAGGTGGCGGTACAAACCAACATTTTTGCAGAAACCATTTCTCAACTTGCGCTCAGGACTTTCTCAAATTTCTTTGTCCTGCTTTAACATGGGTATCATTCTCTCTCTTCAAGGCACAGTGAAACACAATAAAAATTAAATATAATAAATAACTTTTGTAACTGGTCGTTCACCGATGTCTTTCTGTTTTTGAACTTTAGTGCCTTCCCTTCTCTGCAGATCTGAAATACTCCCCACATCAACCCTGGCACTGTACAGTGTGAGTTAGCCCACCCTGGAACCCGGATGTGCTCGGAATCCGGGCAGCACCATGCTCACCTTAGGAAAGGCCATTATGAAGTCGTAGGCATTCGCCTCCTTTGCTGCCTGCTCCATCTCTTCTTCACTAACGCTTTCACGCCCAAACTTAATATTGTTACCAATATTGTCCCAAACAAAACGGGCTCTTGGCTGACCACTCCAATGTACTCTCAGTAATGCCTCACGTTTTGATCTTGGATGTCGTTCTTGTCCACTGTGATCTGACAAACCAAAGAATCAAGCAGGCTATGATGCCGTCTGAGGTCTTGACTTTCGACTATCTTCTTAAACCGAAGAATAAACCGAAAAGTAGCAGGATTGGCTATATTTTGGTAAAATATTTATCGTACGAATAACACTGAGTTTTTTTTCCTGGTAGATTGGAATCAATAAATCTTTAAGAAACAACCAACTTGAAATCCCATGAAGCCGCAACTTAAGTATTGGTAAGGTTTTCAATAAGATACAGGCACACAAACACCGTAGGTGCTACAAATGTTTTATGGAGACAGAAGCCATCAACTTTGCCGTTTTCAGACTGATGGCACCGCTAATGTTCTAGCCTTCCTAATCTCTCAGTGCAATGTTCTAGCCTTCTAATTTCTCAACACTTGTTCAATCACAAAAGACCCAAGTTCCTTCTACTCATCGTTTTAACGAATAGTAAATAAACTGTATTCATAGGTAGCACTGTTACCGCAGCGTATTCTAGGGACAGGACTAGATGTGGCTGTCAGACTGCACTCCTCACAGCCTGGCATTTATGTGAGAATAAACACTGTTTCACACTCATCCAGTGATTTACTTAGTCGATATTAGCATAGACTTGATGTCTATAATATTTTAAACATGGACTGAGACATGCAATTTAAAAGAGACTAGCTTCTACAAGATTTTCTTCTAAAGACATTAATTGATGTTAAGGAAAAGCATCAAGAATCACATTCCTGGGAATACCAGCTTCAGACAAGAGTTAATTCCAACATTATAGATTACGGACAATGAGAAAGAGTGGGCCAGAGAGATGGCTCCGCATGTAAGACATCTGCTGTACGAGCCTGTCCGCTTGAATTCGATCCGTGGAACCCATTTGAAGGCGGAAGGAGAGAAGCGGCTTTCTGAACTGCATATGTGATCTGTAGCTTCTGTCACCCCCCCTCCTGGGCACTCTCTTGAAATAGTAAAAAATGCAATTTTAAAAGAATAAGCATACATTCTATAGATATTACTTTTCTAACACATTTTGAAATTCTATTTTTCTGTTTTTTGATACAGTTGTTTGCTCTGCTGGGGGTCAAACCCAAGGCCTTAGCATTCCAGGCACACACTCACCAATACCACTCAAGTACAACTTTGGCCTTTAAACTCATGAGATCTCTTCCTCAACCTTGCTAACATTTTAGGTATGTATCACCATGCCCAGCTAAATTTTGAAATTATCTAGAAGAACTGGTATGGCAGTTTGAATGAAAATGGCCCCATGGGCTCATGGGACTGGCGTTATTGGGAAGTGTGGCATTGTTGGAGGAATTATGTCACTGGGGGCAGGTTGTGAGGTCTCAGAAGCTCTTTCTGTGCCTGCAGAACCAGATGTAGGACTCTCAGCCATTCACCCTGCACCTTGTCTGCCTGCCTGCCTGCTGCCAGGCTTCCAACCATGACAATAATGGACTAAATCTCTGAACTGTAAGTCAGACACAATTTAATGTTTTCCTTTTTAAGAGTTGCCATGGTCATGGTGCCTTCACAGCAATGGAAGCCCTCACTAGGACAACTGGCATTACAAACTCTGCTATTTTTTCCCCCACTCATTAACCTTGAAACTGGTTCATAGTCTATTTACTCTATTTGTTGTCAATCTACATATAAGAATTTGAACTCCAAAAGGCAGAGGCTTTTGTTTGCCTTGCTCACTGCAGGCTTCCCATAGCCCAGACACATCAGGAGCACATCAGCTGAGTGAAGAGCCGCACAGGAAGGAGAGCAGACCAACTCGTCTCAGAGTCACTGTAAATACTGGGAGTTGGTACATCTGGTAGTATTTCAAATTCCATTCTGTGTACATGCCTTTTCTTTCTTTTTGTGTATGTGTGTACATGTTCATGTGTGTGTGTAGAGACCAATGTTTGTGTATGTGCACATATATGCATAGAGATAAATGTTTGGGTATCTTCCTGGATCACTTTCCTCCTTAGTTTTTGAGATAGGGTCTCTTAGGAAATATGGAACTCACCAATGTATCCACACTGGCTGCCAGCAAGCCCCACAGACTCTCCCAACTGCACTTCCCCAGTACTGGGATTGCAGATATACATCTGGCCAGCAAGCCCCAGAGATCCCCTCCCTGCACTGGGACTGCAGATATTGAATATATATATATCCGGCCAACTCCCTGCACTGGGACTGCAGATGCACATCTGATGTGGGATTCCCCTCTGTATGCTGTGAACACCACTGGTTAAAAAAGAAACTGCCTTGGCCTGTGGTAGGGCAAAAGAGTAGCATGAGGCAAGGAGAACTAAACTGAATGCTGGGAGAAGGAAAGTGGAGTTTAGAGAAGCCATGGAGCTAGAGACAGATGTGCCGAAACTTTGCCAGTAAGCAATACACAGATGAATAGAAATGGGCTAAATTAAATGTTAGAGTTAGTCAATAAAAAAACTAGAGCTTATGGACCAAGCAGTGATTTAATTAATACAGATTCCGTGTTGTTATTTCAGGGCTGAGCACCGGGAACAAACAAGCTGCCTCCTACAACACACATCTGGCCAGCAAGCCTCACAGACTCTCCTGTCTCTACCTCCCCAGCATTGGGATTGTAGACGTGCATCTTGCCAGCAAGCCTCCCAGATCCCCTTGTTCTTACTTTGCTGACACTGAGACTGTGGATGTGCAAGTCAGGCCAGGCCTAGTTTTAGGTGAGTGCTGGGAATACAGCACCTGCGACCACATAGCAAGCCCGGAAACACCGAGCCATCTCCCGGTCTCTTTCCCCTGGTTTTCCTAGCGTTTGTACTTACGCAGCCTTCTTTGGGTCGTATGGCCTTGCAGAAGCTGGACTGTTGTGTTCTTGCCACTGCCACTGGGACCAACCAAAGCTACTGTCTCTCCAGAATTAATCTTGAGATTGAGACCTTTGAGAATCTGTTACGTACACAGGAAATGATACCATTACGTATTCTAGACAACGTTGTGTATTCAGTTAGATAGTTAATTTGTAATATAAACTGAAAATTCTTATGTAGCACATAAACAATTCAGATATTATTTTTATTTGTATAATATTTCATTTATATCTCCAATAATATATAGTTTGGGAGTATAATGTTTAAAATTTTTCTCTATACAAAGAGGAGATATAATTTAAGAGTTAGCTAGCTACAACTACCTAAAGCATTCACTTTTTTTGCTTTTTTATTAGCATATTTCAATTATACAAAAATAAAGGGTTTCATTGTGGCATTTTCTTACAAACATATAATATATATTGATCATATTCATCCCTTCATTGCTTTATCTTTCCTCTTCCCTCCCTCTCCTTGAATTCCTTCCTCTTTCCAAATAAACATCACAATTTTTTCTAAATACGTATGTCTGATGTGTATTCATGTGTATATTATATTCATGTGTATGCATGTATATGGAGGCCCGGGGTTAGCATCAGGAATATTCACCAGTTCTCTGAGGCATGGAGAACTGAGGCATGGAGCTCATTATTTTAGGGAGCCTGGGGTGACTAGCTTTCTTTGGGGCTTCCATCTCTGCCTCCCTCATGCTGGGGTTCGGAGTAGGCTTTAAGTGAGGGTTGGGGGTCTGGACCCTGATCCTCATGTTTGAATAGTGAGCACTTTACCTACTCAGCCTCTGCCAAGCGTGCAAACTTCACATTTTAACTGAAATATCTTAACTAAATCTTTTTTTAAAAAATTATTTATTTTTATTTTACGTGCATGGTTGCTTGCCTGCATGTATGTCTGTGTGAGCATGCCAGATCCCTTGGAACTTGAGTTACAGACAGTTGTGAGCTGCCATGTTGGTGCTGGGGATTGAATCCTGATCCTCTGGAAGAGCAGTCAGTGTTCTTAACTGCCGAGACATCTCTCCAGCTCCCTCTAACAAATCACATGACAACTAAATTAAATTTTTATCTTTTAATTTGCACAGGTTAAATCTTGACAGGTAACTGTGAGTTATTCAAGAAAAATCTCCCTTAGAATAAGTCTAACATTTCTACAAGGTATATTCAAAAAAGAAGTTGGCAAGTCCACGGGGGCACAAGTGAGATCTTACCAGTTTTAGTCATTTGCTTGGATCTAAACACACATTTTTAGCACAGTGGAAATATTTACAAAATTTTCTCCATGTCTGAGAGTCTCTACCAGGCTTTAGTATCACAGGACTTGCCATATGAGAACAGTCTCACAATGAGAAGAGCTGCCTACTGATAGCCTCCCTCAGAGAGTTTTGCTCCAACTGTGTGTTTTCAGCTCCAAATGAACCTCTTCTTTGGATCTCGCCATTTGTAAAGAAACAAATATTTAAATAAGCACAGTGTGAGCCCTCCAGTGTGCCAACCAGAAAGGCAGTTTTGGAAAGGCGATGAGCACTGTGGACTAATGACAGGGTGTCTTCACATACACTTCCACCTCAGCCCGGTTTCCGTTCATTACGTGGGAGAACGTGTCCTCACTTAAAGCCAGTAGGCCTTAAAAATTAATTATTCAGCTTAACAGAAAAGGTTATGTTCAAAAGTTAATTTAAGTGTGAGGAGATGACTCAGCATATAAAAATGTTAACCACACAAGCCAGATGATTTGGGTTAAATTCATGAAACCCATTTTTTAAAAAAAAACTCAATGCAGTAGATTTCACCTAGGAAGATCTGCAGTAGATTCCACCTAGAAAGATCACAGGCCAGCTAGCATTGGATATTCATCAAATCAGCAGAAACAAGAGAGGGGCCTGTTTCAGTAAGTGGGAAGGGAGAACCAAGTCCTAAAAGCTAAGCCGTCCTCTGACGTCCATGTGTGCAAAGTGGTGGGTTCCTCCTGTCCCCCCCCCACCCATGAGTTTAAAACAACTGTTTACCCAAATATGGTGGCACATACCTGTCCAAGTTTGAAGCTGACCTGGGCTACATAGTGAAAACCTAGTTTCAAATAAAAGAAACAAATAAAAAGAATTGTTTAGAACAACATGACTCAGAGCACTATCATGGCACAATTGATGCTCTGGGCCCAGAAGCCAACCTAAATGTATATTCAAAATATAGTCTAAAATGCTACTTTAATTTCAGCCTGGTGAGCTGAAAAGGCAAAAACTGGGGCAACAATAGTCAGTGACAAACAAATCATAAAACAGAAGACTTTGATGAGAGAATCCCAGTAAAAGAGACAGAGAAAAAGCAAGGCAGTGGGAGTGGGCACATAATTTTAACCCAAATTCTGTAAGGTGCGTTAGGTACAATCAAGGTACATTGATGCAGTAATAATCTCATCTGTCTTACTTAAAATTGTGCCCTCCTTTTCTCCTGATTATGGATTTTGTTAGTAGCTGCCGTTTGCAATCTTTAACAATACTATTTTGTGGGTGGGTAGCAAAGGGACTAAATATATTAATTAAATGTAAGGACAAAGTTAACAGGAAGGACAGAGTTGTTTTTTCAAGAGCTATTGGGTGTTAAAGATTAGTTTACTGGGTATACTCCAAGAGGGCAGTAGGCTAGACTGTAGTCCCCTCGTAAGAATGAGACCCACTCTGTGCATGCGCGCGCTTGCGTGTGTGTGTGCGCATGCACACGTCTGTAAAGTGAGAGGAAGTGTATCAAAGACACAGTTGCTGATGCAGTAGAAGCCTCAGAGCTGGAAGAGGGGAAGGCCTAACAAGTGCATTATAACTGATGGTTGGAACTCCCAGGTTCAAGTAACTACAACTGGATAATACCCAGATGCTACCAGGAGGTGGCAGCATTCATTAATCCATGACATTTTGGTGCGCTCAGAAATACAGACCGAGGAAACACGGAGTTAAAAAGGCCTATCAGTTAACCATAGGAGAGAGGCTGGAAAAGATAAACCACTGTCCTAAGAGATATTTGTCCATTTCTTATCAGTCAGCCTCGCTCTCAGTCTAATTGACTCTCTAAGCAATTAGCCAAAATGTGGATCAAAATTATCGCAGAGAGGGACTGGGGCTCGCTGGGCAAGCACTTGGCATGAAAGTGTGAGGTTAATAGCTCTCTTCCAGGCACTCACACGAATACTGGGAGGTGTGTGGGCAGCCCACCTGTAATCCTGGGGTTTGGGATCCCTGAGCAAACTGGCTAGCTAGACTGGTGAGCTTTGGGTTCAAGTGAGAGATTCTTCCTTGATATGTAAGGTGGAGATGATCAAGGAGGACACCAAATGTTGATCTGTGGCCTCCACAGACATATACACACATGTACGAGCACACCCACAAGTGAACATGCATGCACACATATCACACATACACAAACAAACGAATCTTTAAAAATAATCCCAGCCCTGGTCCCACTGCTTCTAGAGTGATATTTATTTGGGTGCAGTCCATCTTTTACGGGGAGGTAAGGGGAAAGAAAGAAATAATCTCATAATAGAATATTCTCGTCAGAAGATAATGTCAGAAAATAGTACAGTGCAACTGAATTTAAGTTACTTGGACAGACGGTCTTGATGGATAGCTGAAAGAAACATTTTCAAATGCTATGTTTCCTTGTACACATTCAGGCTTATATCCAGTTGTTGAGAAGTTATCTATATTGAGTTTCTTGGGAAAACAAAGAGACTGTTATACATCTTGAAAGGGCCAAGCTGATAATGCCCCTCTCCCCAAACACTTTAGAGATGAGCTTTAAGCTTCTTTTCAAATTTCCTTCCTGTTTTAGAAGTGCATGAAGCTAGCCACGAAGTTTTCAATAAGACCCATATTCCCCACAAAAGAGTTAAAAGCAGTCTTTCGTCCCATAACCAAATGACCACTGTGGTTTGAATGAAATGAGTGTGTCTGTCTTTTGTGCTCCTTCTTGCAGTAAGGACTGCTATATTTCAAAGCTCCTACCTTATCAATAACCTGAAAAATATTAAAGGCAGCTTGGTGTGGGAGAATTGTCTGTGTTCTGTCAATCATGTATTTTAATAAAACACTGATTGGCCAGGCAGGAAGTATAGGTGGGTCAACCAGACAGGAAGTAGAGGCGAGGCAATGAGAACAGGAATATTCTGGAAAGCAGGAAGCTCCCTCTGCCAGTTCTGCCCAGACCACCGGAGAGGAAAGATGTAAGCAGCCCAGCTGAGAAAGGCACTGAGCCGTGTGGCTAACATAGATAAGGATAATGGGGTAACATAAGTTATGAGAACTAATGAGTAGCCTGACCTAATGGGCCAATCAGCTTTATAACTTATAGAGATCTCTGTGTGATTGATTTTCTCTGGGACTTGCCAGCTGTGGGGTACCAGGTGGGACAGATACCCCAACAAGCCGGCCGTCATGCTACAGCAGCTCTCCGTGTTATGGCGAAGGTTTCCAAGTGAGGGGCTGCAGATCCAATGCAATAATTACTATGGATCACAGTGAAGGAAACCTACAGAAACAGAGCAAACAATAGTCACCTTTCCTCAGTGAGGGGCTACAGATCCAATGCAATAACTACTATGGATCACACTGAAGGAAACCTACAGAAACAGAGCAAACGATAGTCACCTTTTTTCAGTGAGAGAGACGATGGGATGGAGCACACGTGTGGCCTAGGTTCAAAGAGACATGTGAGGTAACTTAGGAAAGAATGTGGAAGACATGATGAACTATAAAAAAAACACAGACCATCCCCAGCCTTCTTGGCTTTTTCTTGGGGCGACTCTCCATTCAACAGTTGTGTCACGGGTTTGTGTCTCTACAGCTGCAGTGACACTGGAGCCGTCTGAACTGTGCTGGCCCTCCTCCCCTCCATTGTGGCCTTCACCGGAAGCTTTAACAAGAGCGTGAGAGAAGTTGATAGCTCAGAGACATTGTGTTGTTTCTGTCCCTGTTTTAAAAACTGTTCTGGTCAGCCAGGCAGTGGTGGCACACGCCTTTAATCTCATCTCACATGATAAGATGAGAAGACCAAACAGAAATGGAAGCAGTAGAGCAGGTGCTCTTGCTCAGCCTGCTGGACTTTTCCAGCCTGAACTGATGTGTTTGCTGTTGGAACTGAAGGATAGCTCCATGAGTTACAACTTCCTACATAATTGTAGCACTTCAAAGGACCTGGGTTGTAAGGTTGGAAAGGGCTATGTGAAGCTTTCTTTTTTCTTAGAATTTATGTGCATGTGTTTCTGTGTGGGTTGTGTGTGTGTGTGTGTGTGTGTGTGTGTGTGTGCATCTGTGCAGGTGTTAGAAGAGACCAGTGGGCATGGGGTCCTCTGGAGTTGGAGCCAAAGATATAGGCAGTTATGAACCATTTCCATCCCAAATTGTGCTGGTACCAAACCCGGGTCTTCTTCAAAAGCAGTCCAAGCTCTTAACCACTGAACTATCTTTCCAGCCTCATGTAGTTTGTTTTAAAGTTGGCTCAATGTGGGAAAGGATAGAGGAGCAACAGATGGAGCCTTTCAGTTAGCAACGTCTCTGTAGACTGTGATCTAACCCCAGGATGTATGAAAGGAAAAGCCTTACTAGAGTGCTGGATTAAGAGAACTGTATTCAGAGCCGGGCATGGGTGTGGGCAGATCTCTGAGATTAAAGCCAGCCTGTTTTACAAAGTGAGTTCCAGGATGGCCAGGGCTACATAGAGAAACTCTGTCCCAAAAAACAAACAAACAAAAAAACTGTATTTGTTAGTGGGGAATTCAATTATGACTATGATTCTTCTGAAAGTAAATCCTTGGCATAATGAGTACACAAAACATGTTGGATTAATAAATCTTAACTACATATTTTATATGTAAATGTGTTTTTCATATTCTAATATATATTTTTTCTTTATATATTAGAATCTAAAAGTATATCCAAATTATGAGAAGGAAAAATATTTGTCTCAAACATATTTGAAAAGTCATCCTCATTCAAAATGAAATTTTCTTACTAAACTCTAGGTAAGTAAAGATGCCTAAGCCTGTCACCTTTGTTTTTAAACAAGACTTACAGCAAGAATAGTTCCGATGGTGTAGCCAGGCTCTGCACTGAAAATTAAGGAGGTATGGACCAAAAAGCCAATCCATAGGCTCCATTCATGAAAAAGGAGATGGCGCCAAGAGAGAGTTTGGAAACTACAGCCTTCTTTATGCCAGCATGCCTTGCGTCTTTTAGATTCTGTGTATGCCTCACAAAGACGAAACACCAAGTCACCTTTGGAGAAAACAAAACCAAGCACTTTTTGTCACAGTTAAAGGTACAGACCTTTGGGTTTCTTTCTCTTGGGCTCCAAAGGCTGTGACTGTTCGGATTGATGACAAGACTTCTTCAGCTACAGCCCCAACTTTGGAATAGGCATCAACTTCCTTACTGGTCAATGAGATGACCACCTGCAGTAAAAACAACCACTGTTAAATGAAGAATGAACCGGGCGGTGGTGATGCACGCCTTTAATCCCAGCACTCGGGAGGCAGAGGCAGGCAGATTTCTGTAAGTTCTAGACCAGCCTGGTCTACAAGAAGTATTTCCAAGACAGGCTCCAAAGCTACAGAGAAAGCCTTGAAAAAAACAAAACAAAACAAAACAAACAAAACAAAACAAAACAAAACAAAAAACTAAGAATGAATCTGCTGTGGCTTGAATGTGAAATGTTCCCCAGAGGCTCAGCTAGTCATATTTTTGGGGATCTTTAGAAGTGGGGTCTAGCTGATGACATAGGCTCTACAGGTTGGTAGAGCCCACTTCTGGCTTCTCTCTTTCTATTTTCTGGTCCTAGGAGGCCAAACCATACCTTTTTTACCACCACTGGCTCTCCCCTGTATTTATCCTGTCATGGTGGACTAAAGCAAGCTATGAGCCAAAAATAAAACTTCTCTCTTCTTTGTGTTGCCACAGCAACACAAAACTGATGGCTAGTTTTAAATTGTCAGCTTGACATATTTAGAATTCAATCAGCCTGACCTGTGAGCATGCTTGTTGAGCAACCTCTTGATTATATTGACAATGACATTTTAAAATGTTTGTAGGACTCAGAAGATCCAGGATCATTTTTAAAAAAGAAGTTGTTCTGGACCTTAATTTCTGATTTTATTTATTAATTAAAATGATTGTATAGTAAAGAAGAACACTGTATGGTGCTAGTGTAAAGACAAATATATTGATAATTACAAAATTTTAGAGGTTAGAAATTAATCCTTACAGTTACAGATAGTTGGCTTTTAGCAAAAATAACAAGTTGTGTGGGTGAGAAAGTATAGCCGTGTCCTTAAAAATATGCTGGGACAGTGTGTGAGAAAGATGAGAGTGAACCCTTCCTTAGTCACAAAGTAAGTCAAACTGAACCACAGGTCTACAGGTAAGGAATAAACCATGCAAACATCGACAAGAAAAGCAGTAATTCTGGGTTTCTCGAAGAATTCTAAAGTTCTGAAGCACAATTTATAAAAAAAATACTCAATAAATTGAAATTCATCCAAATGTAAAACTTCTGTGTTTCACAGTAAGTCTTTTAGAAAATGAAAACGTGGTGGGAGAAATCAATTGCCTTTCAAATCTGGGAAAGAACATGTATTCAGAATCTGTACAGAGGTCTTTCAGCTCAATCATAAAACAATGCTACACTTTAAAAAATGTGTGCTTCCCAGAACATCAGTCAGCAGGAGCACCCGCAGACACATGCACACACGGAGTCCATCACATCAGTCAAGAGAACACCACAGTTCTGTACTTCACAGAACATCAGTCGGCAGGAGCACCCGCAGACACATGCACACACCGAGTCCGTAAAAAACGAAGGAGACAGAGGAAGTGAATTTAGAATTTTTTAACTTCAATTAGTTTGTATCTATGTAGACACATGAGGCTGTGCTTAGCATATTGATAGAGCATGGTGGCACATTCTCAGACTTTACCCTTAGATAGGCCTTAAAGAAGGATGACCATGAGTTCAAAGCTGCCCTGAGCTACATGGAGAGTTCTAAGTCCCAGTTGTACAGACCATTTTAAACAACAAATAAATGAACAGTCAAGGGCCAGAGAAAACACTAGGTGTCGTTCTTGTCTGTTTGCAGATTTTGAAAAGCTTAATGATAAAGTATGGAAATCCTGTGAAGAAACCCAGTAAAGAGAACACTCACTCTGCACATGGTGGTGAGTAGAGTCAAGCTTACTGTCACCTCACAATTTACGAAACAGAATGCCGTTATGGCTTTCTATTATTCAGACTTTGTGATGGTTAATTTGGATACAACTTATCCTCAATTAAACTTTATTTTAAGAAGTACTCGCTTCACTGTTTCCCTCAATTCATCTTCCACCGTGCTTCCTTCTAAAGCCTTCCTTTGTTTTTCTTCTTGTGATGCTGAGCCTCAAACCCAAGGCCTTACACATGCTAAGTTCTCCTAGGAGATTCTATTGCTAGTTCATCTTTTCAAATTCTAAAATATATTTAAATTGCATTTTTCTATAACAGTTAAAAAGAAAATAATTTTTAGGAGAGGATATAGATCCTTTATCAGAGGTATTGAGGTACTGCAGTTCTGGGGGCAAAACTGGCAATAAAAACACAGATCCTTACTTTTCTGTTGATGACAGTTTTGCCACATAAAACTCAGAAAATATGCCTACATACTTTTTATTTTCATTCTTTTGTGTTTGTCAAGTATTTATGTTTATGTTCATAGACGTGTGTGCTTTCACGTTCAGAGACCAAAGGTCAACCTCAATTGTTTCTTTCTTTGTGCTCCATCTTACCTGTTGAGACAGGGTGTTTTGCTGAACAAAGAGCTCGCTGACTTGTCTATACTGTCTTGTCAATGAGCTTCAAGAATCTGTCTGCCTCCCTCATGCTTTACTTTAGAGAGGGTGGGGGGGGCCTGAACTCAGTTCTTCCCACTTACATAGCAAGCACCTTACTAAAGAAGCCATCTCCCCAGACTCATATCCTTTAAGTATACGGGAAAATTATATATCACTATACTATATATGGGATGAGAGAAAAGCATGGTTACTTTAACCACTTTTGTATAATGTGAATGATTAAGGTTTCCAGTTTTTTTCCTTATAGATATTGATTGGATAAAGTAGCAAGCAAGAAGTAGGAACATAATTCTTCATCTGAACTTACATAATGATATCTTCATTCACCTTCTCTTGAGACTGAGAGAAGTTCTGATAGTTTGCTGCAAAAAAGATTTTCTCTTTTTAATTATAAAGGAAATTAACAATTAGTCATAATGTTTCATGAATGTTCCTCCAAACCACATACATGATTTTTGTTTGTTTGCTTGCTTTTATAGAAAATGAAGTTCTTGTCCCTGGTTTCATGATTCTTTGCTGCCCATGTTTTTAAAGGAGAACTTGCAAGAGCTATCTCTTCTCTCAAAAACTAATTTCCCAAAGTGAAAAGTAAGAGAGAGCACTGACCTTACAACTCACAGAAAGTTCTCCTCTAGGAGAACATTTAACAATTCACTTCCTGCCAGCAGGTTCATGGCGTCGCACTTCCTGCCCATGATTATGCTTTTTAGAATTAAATTCAACATGTCCCAGAGAGAGTTGTCATGACAAAAAAATGAACACAAAACTCATTGAAACTTATTGGTGTTAAGTTGGGAGCTTAGGCCCCAGCCCCTTGCATCTATCCTAGCTCCCTGACCCGAAGAGTAAGCACTCTGGACTCCAAATCCCAGCAGGCCAGGTCCTGACCCCTCCCTGGAGGGATGGGGGAGATCAGGACCATGCCCAAGAATATTTAAGTGAACTCCCAAAAGAGGAACACATGGTCTCCTTTTCTTGCTTCCAGTGGTCATTGTGCCCCTTCCCAGCTTCCCCTCAGGGCCACCTGAGAGCGCAGAACTTCCATTAAACCTGGATATCTCTTAATGTGGCTTGTTTTGATTTGGCTTGATTGGGATTTTTGCATCGGTGGAGAACTCGCATTAGGAAAATATTCCTAACAACTGGGTTATAACTAAGAGAACCATATAATAAAACGGTTTCAAACAACCAGGCGGTGGTAGTGCATGCCTTTAATCCCACCACTCGGAAGGCAGAGGCATGTGGATCTCTGTGAGTTTGAGGCCAGTCTGATCTGTAGAGTGAGTTCCAAGACACAAAAAAACAATGCAGAGAAACTCTGTCTTCAAAAACTATAAACCCAAACCAAAAAAAAAAAAAAAACCCAAAACCCAAAACCCAAACCAAACCAAACCAAAATCCCCCAAAACAAAATTCCACTCCCACAACAAAAAACCAAAAAAAAAAATCCAAAACTTTTCAAACATGCTTTGTTTAGCAGATGTAATTTCTCTCTCTCTCTCTCTCTCTCTCTCTCTCTCTCTCTCTCTCTCTCTTTCTCTGTATCTTCTGGAAAAATAGCATCTACCATTAACAACATCCAAAGTCCCAATTTAGCCAGCAACACAAACTCATAATCAGTACCCTACATTACAATTTTTTAAAATAAAACTCTGTAGTAAACATTTGGAAGAAAACTGGAAACTTCCAAGTCCTTTATCTGTTATATCCCATTTAATAATGTCTGAATTTATTTATATGCAAATAGTCATTCCCCATCATTTCATTTATGGAATTGTGATACATAATTTTAACTAGCCCATTTCAAAAAATCATAATTGATGTAGAAGGAATGAAGATAATCCTAATAGAAATATTAAATTAGATTTAACCCAACTGCTAAAGATAATCACCACTGCTTCTAAAATGGTATTACATTGCAATAGAAATAGTGCAATCTCAATTTTGAGATTACATTACTAGAAGTAGTCTAAGAAAAAGTATAATGTTTGCACAAAAAAGAACAGTTAATCAATGGTAGTTACCATTTTTATTTTGCTTGTGGCAAATAAATAGCCCTCTTTTATTATTATTTAGAAAATAAACATTAATAATTAGCAAAGCTGTTGTTAAAATGTTCAAAAACTATGCCTTATATTCCCACTTCTTTTAAAAGATTTATTTAATGTATTTAAATGTATGGCTTACATACATGTGTATCGGGTATCCATGGAAATCAGAAGACGGTGTCAGATCCCTTGAAACTGTGATGTACTAGGAACTGAATCCACATCCTCTGAAAAAAATAGCAAGTGCTCTTAACCACTGATCTACTTTTCCTGCCCCAAATAACTATTTAGTAATGTATAATATAAAAATATTGTCCAAAAAATCTTATCTAAAGTATTTTATTGCACTGATAAAATGACAGTATACTGCATTGATAAAATACAGCACAACAATATCTGTTACATACGCACTACATGTTCCTACCTAAAGCAAGTGTCTTATTGTTGCTATAAGACACCGTTACTAAGGCAACTTATAAAAGAAAACATTTACTTTGAAGTTCATGGTTCCAGAGAATTAGAGTCAGTGGTCACCATGTTGGGGAATGTGGCACCAGGGAAGCAGGTTCATCCTGGAGCAGTAGCTGAGAATTCACATCTGATTCACAAGCATGAGGTAGAAAGAGAGAAAGAGTGGGGAGGGTGAGAAGGAGTAGGGGAGAGAGAGGGAGGGAGAGAGAGAGCAAGCTAACTGGGAATGGCATAGATTACTGAACTATCAAAGCATACCTCCAATGATACACCTCCTCCAACAAGACCACACCTCCCAAACCTTCTCAAACAGTTCCATCAACAGGGAATCAAGGAATCAAATATATAAGCCTATGGAGGCCATTCTCATTCAAAGCACCACAGCAAGTAAGACAATAAATACTACTCAGAAGACAGTCTCAGGCTGCTGGGTTTACCATTCCCTCACTGAGGACTGACAGTCAGTAAATATCTACTCAATGAACTGATGAATCAATATGCATAACAAAAGGAATTTAGCTTATATCACTAAAATGTAAATGTTTTTGTGATGGGGCACAAATATCTTCTTGATCACAGATCACTAGGGAAACCATGAATGTTAACCACACTGGAACCCCCTTCTCAATGGAGGAGATAAAATACCTGTTTCCTACCCAAAGAACTGGGAGTGGATATTGTTAACGATGTGGTGACCTTTTCGCTATCTGTGGTGCCAGAACTCATCCACTTTTTGCTATAGAGGCAGACCTCACTCAAATCTCCCAGAATGTCTCTCCCAGACTCCCCCATCTTAGACCTTTATCTTTAGCTAGAGACCCCATTCTCTTGGTCACGTATACTTTGTAAAAGTGTTTCTAATTAGTCACACCTAAACTTTATTGTGCATCTGAAATTGGAATGATTGCTGCCTGGGAACTTTTCCCCAAGCTTTACTCTGTTTCACATATGAGAACAACCTGGAATTAGATTCCCCAAAGTCTGATCCAGGTTGATGAAATCAATATGAACTGGATTTTCATTCTCATCTCTTTGCAGGTTCGCTTCACTGCCTGAACACCTGCAGCATCCCCCTCATTTTTGCACACACATTTTGTATGTGTGTGTGTATTCACACATGTGTCTGTAGGTGCATGTTTCCAGAGTCCCATAAAGCAGTTCTTTCTCCCTCCCCTCACCTTTTTCTCCTCTATCTCTCTTTATTCCCTCTCCTCTTTTTTTCTTTTTTGTCCCTTTCTTCCCCCACTTCCTCTTGCCCTCTTTCCTCTCTCTTCCTTTTTCCTTTTCTCTTTCTTTCCACCACCCTTATATATTTTTGCAGACACACATGTTATTGGTGGTTTTTCTCAAGAGAACTAATACAGACTTTGGTTATTTAGTATCAAATAACATAGACTGAAGTTCATATTATACAAATATTCTTTCATAATGATCTATAAGATCAATGTTTGACTACTTTAATGTGTTTGAGTCTCCAGTAAAAGAAAATCTTGAACTTACTTCTGTTAGTTTGGAGTAGGCATCCATTAATAAAATGATCACTTATTTCTTCTAAAACCAGAGACATTAAAGGATGTTAGTATCCCCAATGTCGTGAGTGCAATGTCCAGACTATCAGCAAAACGGAACTGAAAAAATAAAGCAGGGAAATGTTACTGTGTGAAACTCAAGCAAAACTTCCAATAGCTATTCCATGAAACAAACGTTACCTAACCAACTGATGAGATTAACTCAATCATAAAACTACAGGCATGCCTTTATCTGTACTGTAAAAAGGAAACAAACAAGCACTCAGTCTTAGCTCTTAAGGATTCACAACAAGGTTTGAAAAGGGACTGAAAAACAAATCAGCCCAAGCAATACAAGCTATGAGAAAACATATGTCAGATCCTATGTTGGCATGATTCCAAGTCTTCTGTTTGGAATGAATTACTTTAAAGGGCTTGATGAAAAGCCAATCAGCAAATTTTCATTTATTAGCATTGGTGTGCTGCCATCACTAACCATAAACGTTCTGCTGGTCAAAATGTAATGAATTATATTTTTGATTTTTTTTAAGTTTCTCAAATTAAATTTGCCCCCAAATAATTCCTACCTTGTAAAAAAGGGCCAATAATGATTTACAGTGGTGTTGGTAGCTTGACGGAATGCTTGAAAGCCAAGCATTGGAATGCTCTGTCTTGTAATAAGTACCCACAATACCAAACTAAAACCAAACCACAGTGAGACTTGTGTGGTGGGTTTTCCACCATGCCAAAAAAGGATGATTCAAGTGTATGCTGAGATACATTAGATGGGAAGAACAGCAGGCAGGCGTAGTGCATACAATGTGTATGCAGACTGCATGTTTTCTTCACTCGTTGTAATAGCTCAGCAGTAGTTATGAAGTAACTGCCATAGCATTTTGTCAGCACTACACATGATAAGATAAATAAATGTTTGTTCCTGTCTTTCACCACTATAGTGCTCTATCTTATTTTTGATATTAAAACTTCTAAGAATTTCATATATGGATATATTTCATTTCTTTCTCCTTCCTCACCCATCACTAAGTCCTCTCATATCACTCCAAGTCCACCTTGAATTCATAATATCTTTTATAATTATTATTGTTACACACATACACACGCATCTATACAAGCATAAATACACACAACCTCCCCACAGTACGAAGTCCATTAATATTGTCCACATGTTGGCAAAGTTCTTCACATTCTGATATTTCCTAGGATTTTAACTTTTGAAATCCTCAGAAGTTGTTTCATATGTGTTGCTGTGAAAGATAACTTTGGTTGTCAACTTGACACACTTGGGAAGAAGAGACCTCAACTGAAGAATTGCCTTCATCAGAAGGTCCCAAAGGCACACCTGTGGGAGGATTTCCTTGACTGTTAATTAATGTAGGAAGGCCCAGTCAACTGAGGGTGCTACCATCCCTAGGCAGGTGAGTCTGGGTTATTAAATAAGTTATCTGAGGATGAGGATGAGAATAAACCAGTAAGCAACATTCCTCCCTGGTTTCTATTTCAAGCTTCTGCTTTATTCTCCTGCCTGGCTTCCCTTGTTGATGGACTATACGTGTAAATTGAAATAAACCCTTTCTTCTCCATGTTGCTTTTGGCCATGATGTTTATCACATTGACATAAATCAAACTATAGCACTGACAACTAAGCGAAGAGATTGGTGTTGGGGGTAGAGTGCAAGAAGATATGCATGACAGCTGACCTAGAGTTCTATTTCTGTGAAGAGACATCATGGCCAAGGCAACTCTTATAAAGGAAACCATTTACTTGGGTCTGGCTTACAGCTTCAGAGGTTTAATCCATTATCATCATGGCAGGAAGCATGGGTTATGTGCAGTAGGCTTCCACACTGGTTGTATCTTGAGCAAATATGAGACCTCAAAACTCACCTCCACAGTGATACACTTCCTCCAACAAAGCCACACTTACTCCAACAAGGCCATGCCTCCTAATGGGTCAAGCATTCAAACACATGAGTCCATGGGGAGCAATATCTGTTCAAAATACCACTACAGTATTCTTTGAACATAGTTCCAAATATATGTGTTGGTATATTTTCTGTCACACAAAATTCATGTAATAATTATTTAAAAACTCTTTGTAGCAGCTTGACTTCTCTGTGTCCTATAGCTCAAGTATGTGGAATTTAGCAATAGGATTTTTGTATCAGCTTCTGGATGGAAAGTAAGAGCAATGCCAATATTCTGTAATGTTTGGGGGAGGTTTATGGGATCATAATTGTAGACAGAGGCTGCTTGTTCATTCCCAGCTGCCCAGACCCAGAATAATTTCACAGAAACTCTTTCAACCTTCTGGATTATGTAGTAGATGTGGCAAATGCCAATACTGGACCAACTCAAAGGAGTTTTGTGGTGGTGTTGGGTTACTTTATCTGTCTTTTGTTGATCTACATTCATTGGTCCAATATTCCTTAAATCTCCCCCATGAAGACAAGGAACTAACCCTCTAAAACTGTAAGCAAGCCCCCAGTTTAATGCTTTCTTTTATAAGAGTTGCCTTGGTCATGGTGTCTCTTCACACAACAGAGACTTGGCTGTGACAGTCACTATGATGTATTCCTTTCTGTTTCCCCAGTTTTTTTCCACACAGAGGCTGTAAATTACCAAACAAATGTGAGCATCCCATGTGCTACTGTAAATTTCCACAATTTCTAATGCACACACTTTTATCCTGCTTTTGCTTACTATTCCAATAGGTCCAACAGTTTGATTTCCTGCCTTTTTTGGCAGCTCTTGCAGAGGTCTGAAAAATAAATATGAAAACAGAAAAGGTAAATATTAATATAATTTGTCAAATTCTCCAATTAACATTTTGCCAAAGTGTGAAATATTACCTTTGACAGCAAATTTATGCAAATTATTAAATTTCAAAAGCTGATTTAATGAGAGGGAGTATAATTTTTTAAAGAAAAAAATCACTGAAAATTGGCAATAGCTCTCTGTAGAGAAATGAATGCATGAACCTGGGGTGAAAAATGTTTGAATTATATGAAAATATGCATAGCAGATGACATCATTGTAACCATTTTAAACAGCAATGAGGGCACCCAAAGCATTGTTTACACCATCCACAGAACTCTTCTTCTTCTGCAGTACTGATTCCCTGTGCCTCTTGAAAACCTTTCCTTGTCCTATTCTCTCAGTCACCATTCCGCTTCTTGTCTCTATGAACCTGACAGTTTTAGTTCAAGTAAACTCATGTGATACTTTTCCTTGTGTGGTTGGTATAATGTCGCCAAGACTCATTTTGGTATTACTCACTTAGCAGGATAACTTTGAATTTTCTCCATGCTGCAGTCTTTCAGAATTCCCCATCCCCCATTTTAAGACAGATTGCTATTCTTACTGTTTTCCATGTCCTTTTAGCTCATCACAACAGTTAACACATACTAGGAGTTCTTGTATGCTTTGGCCATTGCTACCCATGCTTTGAAGACTATGAATACATACCCTGATTTCAATCTTTTTTGGGTGCGTGAACAGAGATAGAGTTGCTAAACCATACACCAATTATATTTTTAATCAAAAGATATTTATTTGAGGTGTGTATATGTGTGTGTGTGCGCGCGCGTGTGGGCCTGCCATAACACGTGGATGGGAGCTTTCTCCTTCCACTGTGGGATCCAGGGATTGACCTGCAGGCACAACTCTTGTTCAGCAAGCAGTTTTAGCTACGGAACCACTTTGCTGGCCCTGTGTTTTAAATATCAAGGAAGGGTGTGTAGTTTCGTGCACTTTCCTAGGGGCGGCATAAGAGTCTGCTGCTCACACCCTCACCGTCCTTTGGTCTTTTCTTCCTGACAGTCGCATCCTGCTGAGCATGAAGTGGTAAACAAAAACCCTGCCATGTATAATGCGGTTCTGCAGAGCAGTTGTGAGACCTTCGCAAGTAGGGAATTCTATTAGGTGCATTTTGTGTGAAACTCAGAATTTCGTCGTCTCTTTGAAAATAACTCAGTTCACATTTGGAGGATGCTGGACTGCAACATGTGACATTTGTACATTAACCTCCTACCAAACACGCACATTTCTGAAGCACATAAAGCACTTTAAGAAGGGAGCAGTGTAAGTTGTCGTAAATGTACCCTTCCATGTCTTCTCCCCAGCTTTGATATGCACTCCTCTGTCGGCCTTTATGGATGACCAGCTGTGCAGATTTCTGTCACTGTGATTAATTTCCGTGTCCCCTCTCCTGCCTCCGTCTAATGGCTAATTTATGTACAGGCCTGTGCCCGGGGAAGGCATAGGCGAAACCGACAAACAAAACCCTGGTGCTTTGAAAGCGTAAAGCCATTTTCCGACAGCTTACCTCAGCTTTTGACCTTCACAGTGTTTACATCAGTTTATGTGACTGTTTCCTCTCTACCAGAAGTGAGTGAGGAACCACAGGCTGTCTCCTGTTCAGCTGCCCAGCTGCCAAAGTGCAGTGTACAACAAGGTCATCAGGGTCGCCGCACACCGCGCCCCGTGTGCTCTCTGCTTGACTGCAAGCCGAGGTAAGTTTGTGATTTAATAATTAATTTTATTTGGCCCAAAGCATCTACATTTCTCTTCTTAGTGTGAACTGAGCCATGCCTACCTCGTCAGAATCTTGCCTAGATTTTGAGGTCAGAGCCAACCCCTGATTCCAGGAATCTGGCTTTTCAAAATCACCCAACCTAGCCTTTATTCCTTGCCACGGACTGTTTTCTTGCATCCCCTTTATAGTCTTGTCCCCTCCAAGTGAAGTCAAATGTCCAGTTTCATTTAAGCTTGATAACCAGCAAAACTGCCTCCTCCTGCTCTCTAGTTTTTCCGAGGTGGCAAATGTTTGCTGTTGTGTTCCCACGAATCTACTCGTTTCTATGGTTTACAGTGATGGCAGTATATGAAAAGCCCACAAGGACAGTGGTGCTGTGACCGTTTTAAAGATGAGTGAATTGAGCCACAAAGTAAACAATTCTAGTTTTCATAGCTAGGGATTGACCTTGACTGTGAATCCAAAGCTCAAATTCTTATCTGCAAAGTCATGCTGCTGAGGAAATGCGAGCAGAAGGTCTGATTCTTTGCTCCCTAGGTCCTGAAGTCCTCAAATGAAATCTAAAAAAAAAAGTCTTCTCATCACTCCCTCTTGCCGTCATCAATGATATCAAAATTAAAGAAGGAACATTCAGTTTATAAGAAAACAGCTCAACAAGATGGGAAAATAACAACTACACAAAAGATTAAAGGCATATGAGTGTAGGAATCAACTTTTTTGGTTTTCAATACTTATTTTTCACATTTTAAATAGTAACTATTAATTCAGCCATTGTGAAAAATAGTATGGGGGATATCTTAAAAACTGTCAATAAGTTCAAGCATGGTGGCTCATGTCTTTAATCCCAGCAGTTGGGAAGAAGAGGCAGGCTAGTTTCTTTGAGTTCCAGGTCAGCCTGGTCTACTAAGTGAGTTTCAGGACAGCCCATGGCTACATACATAGAGACCCTGTCTCTAAGTTCAAAAGAAAACAGTAACAAAACTACAAATAGATGGGCTGGAAGGTTTGATAAATGGTTAAGAGCATGTTCCATGCTTCCAGAGCATCAGAGTCCTGTTTCCAGCACCCACACCGGGGGCTTGGAGCCATGCGTGGCTCTGTTTTCAAGGGATCTGATCTCTCTCGCCTCCACAGGCACCTGCACACATGCAGACATACACTCATACACATAAATGAAAAAATTAAATACAAAACATCCCATTAAAAATAGAATAACCAAGTGATCCTTCTACAAGTATGTCTTGAAAGGAATTATAATCAGTTTGCTGAAGAGTTGTCTGCACATCCACGTTTAGTGCACGACTACTCATACTAGAAAAACCGAAATGACCGCCAGTGCACAGAGAGGGAGCAAGTGTGTGGCATAGACACACAGCACAATAACAATCAGCCTTTATTCTCTTATTTATGTTTGTTTATCTATCTATCTATCTATCTATCTATCTATCTATCTATCTATCTATTTATATTTTAAAGATCTATTTAGTGTGTATGCCTGTCTTGCCTGCATACATGTATGTATATCATGTGTGATGCATGGACCCGTAGAAGTTTGGAAAGAGCATCAGATTCCCTGTTACTGAAGTGACGTATGGCTCTAAATTTTCACGTGGGCACTGGAACCAAACCTGGGTTCTTTGCAAGAGTAGTAAGGACTTTTAACTGCTAAACTGTCATCATTCCACATCTATTGCTTTATTCTTTAAAAAATTAAATTTCGAGATTTTGTGTGTGTGTGTGTTTTGAATCTACGTGTGTGCGGTTGTTCATGGATGGGTGAAGTGGGTGTTGGATCCCCTGGAGCTGAGGTTGCAGACCTTTGTGAACTATGCTATATGGATTCTGGAAACCAAACGTGGGTCCTCTGAAAGAGCAGTACACACTAGGTCATCTCCCTCTTCTGAGAAGGAGATTCACTGTAACCCAGTCTGGCCTCCAGATCCTCCTCCTTCAGCTTTCTAGTATTAGGAGTGCAGACATGTTCCATCCCTCTTAGTATGTGAAAGAAAAGAATTATATCATGTGCAGAAACTTATGAATCTAGAGGGCACCACACCAAGTAAAAAAGCACAGAAAGACAAATATAGCATGGTCTCATTTTTATGTGAAATAAAAGCCACACTCATTGTGATTGAGTAGGCCGACTTACTGATGGATGCTTGAAGCTGCTAAAATGGTGGGAGACTCTTCTTTGGATATTTTTGGCATCAGCAAACGACGTGAACTAGGGAATTGCTCTCCAGTTATACAGAACACGTATCCAAATATAACCTGCAGTTATGGCAAAAGTGAAAACAGGATTTAAAACTCGTTCTATTTTGTATCTCTGCACAAATGCATTTTGTGTATAGAAAACAGTGTAATGTACATAGGCACAAAAACATCTCTTTAGTGAAAGGAATGTACCAGAAAGACTCAAGTGTCTGTCAGTGCTGAAATGAAGCTCTGCAGTCACCTGTCCTCCACTGTCCATTCTACCACAAGGAATTCAAGAGAGGTGTTATCCAAAGTCCTAACTCAACAATTCCTGTCACAGTTCCCTATCCTGAAACTAATGTGGGAGCTGTTGGAACAACAACTTTAGTAGTGGTAATAACAATTATATTAAATTTCAGCAAAATGCAAACTGTTAATTTTGAAAAGGAAAACTTTTTCTGCCAGTTGTGAAAGGGATAATGTATGTTTAAAATTTTAGGATAATTGTAAAATTCAGTGGAAGCTTACCCATATCTCTGACTACTTTCTTGCGTCCCCTCTGCTCTTTCATACAACAGCATTCTGTAGAACTTACACTTGCTGGCCTTCCCTCTTGTAAGAAGCGTCTGCCTAAGCAATTGATCTTATTTATATGTTGACACTGAATTTGTGAATCTTTCACCTCATTCTTAGCTGAGAGTTGGAGTTCATGGAAATTTTAGAATTAGAATGAAACAAGGGAGTAAAAATGGAGGATGTACTGTAGTGAAAATACTGGATTTTATTCTCACTCTGCCACTGGTTTGATTTTAGCTGGGGAAACCTTAAAGCTACCCAGTGTTTAGGGTTCTCTATAAAATATGGAGTATTTTTTGATATCTAGCAGTCCGAGGAAGTGGCTTTCTGTTTTGTAATTACCAAGTTGTATATTCCACTCTAGGTAGATTTATAATAAAAAAGAGCAGAGTATTTGGAAAACCTACTCATCATTGGACATTAAGTACAACATATTCTTCCATTGGGTGATGCTTGTCCTAAAATCACCATTGTGAACTTAAATAATTATTTCACTACTAATGAAACATGCTCATGACGAATCTCATTTGCTAGGGTATATAGCATATTACCCTATACTGAGATGATATTAAAGTTATGGGTGTAACCTGTAGAGAGGAATTACTAATAAATTGAACAGTACCAAAACATGTGACAGCGCTAATAAGCTTTCAGATAGTGGGAATCTTAATTGAATTATTGTGTACCAATGAGTTAGAAAGGAATGCAGCACCAAGATGAGAAAGATACACAATAGTGAGTATAGTAGATACTGCTACTTGCCATAGTAACTTTATAACTTCTCTAATTTAATATATACAAAAGAAAAGTGATTAAAATAAAAGTCCTAAAATATTTGGTAAATATAATTTCCATATTATAAAACTAATTATTATATAATAAAACCCATACGTTCACAATAAGAAGTCATATTAAATCTCACCTTGCTAAGGGCAATCTGCTGTCCATTTACCAAAACTCATGCATGGTTTTTCTCTTCAAAAAAGGTCTTTCCTTTAATGACTATGCTTAGCCAACCTTGTATTCTGGTCAGACAGCTGTAAATATCTGATATAATCAGTAATGAATTTCCATGCAAAGCACATGGTGTCCTTCACATGATGTTGCCCTTGGAAACAACATGAGCAGAGAGAATCCAGGGTAAAATAAGTTCTCTTTGAGAACATTGTTCAATGATCGCACACCTAGTTTCTGTTGTCTAGTTCTAGAACACCTTTAAAACTAGCTGAATAAAATAAATTTCTCTAGCATGCTGACAGCTCATTGACAGAACAGGCGTTAGTAACAGTCCATGTGCGCTGATTCTGCTGCTGCATTACTGCCCCTAGGACATGTTTCTGTGGAGGCTATTTGTTTAGATCTGTGTTATGATCAACAACATTTGACCTACCTTACAAATCTATTATCTCGCTATAGTATATGTCTTACTTATTACTTTATAAATTACTTGCAAAATATAAGTTTATATGATGCACAAGTTATTAGTTACAAGTATCAAAAAGATGTTTCTTTTCCCGAGAAGCTTTCAACATCATGTTCCCCAACCATATCATAGACTTATAACTCAGCGTCTTCCTGAATCAGCTGCTAGGTGTTATGTGGGACAATAACGGCAATGCAGAAATTTTAAGTCTTTTGATTGTGTCAAAATATTCATAATATAACCTTTACATTTTAACCATTTTAAGTGTAGAGTTCAAGGTCAGGGACATCAGATTCTTATGCAGTGTTGTATAACCAGTATAACTAGCTGCCTGCAAGCCAGGTTTATCCTCCTAAAGTGAATTGTATATTTATTAAGCAATAACTCTTCATCTGTCCAATTTTTGATAAGCTTTGTAGATGGAAGCTGCTCATTTGTTTTCCTGCTGCCCAGACCCAAAACAATTACACAGAAACTACATTAATTACAACACTGCTTGGCCAATAGCTTAGACTTCTTATGAACTAGCTCTTACACCTTAAATTAACCCATTTCTATTAGTCTGAATAATGCCACAAGGTTGTGGCTTACTGGGTAATGTTCCGGCATCTATCTCCTTTCACAGTTACATGAAATATCATTGACTCTGTCTACTCTCTCTCTATCTTCCAGCCTGACTATATTCTGTCCTGCTAATGGCAAAAGCAGCAACTTTTATTTTTTATTTAAAAAGAAAACAAACTATCTTTTTTCATTATACATACCAACCCAAGTTCTCACTCCTTCCCCTCCTCCCATTCTCTCCACATACACTCTCACCCCACTCCCGTTCAATAAGGCACATTGCTTTAGGGAAGGTCCAAGACCCTCCCTACTATATGTAGGCTGAGCAAAGTATCATCCAAAAAGAATAGGTTCCCCAAAAGCCAGTACATGCAGTAGGGATAAATCCTAGTGCACCCCAGTCTGCCCCAGCCATGCAACTGTCAGTCACATTCAGAGGTACTAGTTTGGTCCTATGCTTGTTCCTTCCCAGTCCTGCCAGAGTTGGTGAGTTCCCATTAGCTCAGGTAGACTGTTTCAGTGGGTGCACCCATCAAGATCTTGACCCCTTTGCTCATAGTCTCACTTCTCCCACTCTTCAAATGAACTCTGGGAGTTTGCTCCAGTGCTCCAATGTGGGTCTCTGTCTCTGTTTCCATCAGTTGCTGGATGAAGGTTCTATGGTGACATTTAAGATATTCATCAGTCTGACTACAGGGCAAGTCAAGATCAGGCCCCCTCTCCTCTACTGCTTAGGATCTTAGCTGGGGTCATCCTTGTGGGAATTTCTCTAGTGTCAGGTTTCTTTCTAACCCTATAATAGCTCCCTCAATTAAGATATTTTTTTCTTGCTCTCATCTCTGTCCTTCCTCCTTCTCGACTATCCCATTCCCTTAAGCTCTACTTACCCCTTCTCTTCTTCCCTTCTCTTCCCCTTCCACCCTCTCTTCTCTACCTACCTCAATACTTCCAATTTTGACAGGTGATCTTGTCTGTTTCCACTTTCCAAGTGGAGCTATATATGTTTTTCTTAGGGTTCACCTTACTACTGAGCTTCTCTTGGATCATATGCTCAATATTCTTTGTTTATAGCTAGTATCCACTAATGAATGAGTACATACCATATTCATATTTTTGTGTCTGAGTTACCTCACTCAGGATATTGTTTTCTAATTCCATCCATGCAAAATTCAAGATGTCATTTTTTTCCTCTGAGTAGTACTCCAATGTGTAAATGTGCCACATTTTCTTTATCCATTCTCCGACTGAGGGACAACTAGGTTGTTTCCAGGTTTTGTCTATTACAAATAAAGCTGCTATAAACATAGATGAACAAATGCCTTTGTAGTATAATTGAAAATCTCCTGGGTTTATGTCCAAGAGTGGTATTGCTGAATCCTGAGGTAGGTTGATTCTTAATTTTATGAGAAAATGTCAAACTGATTTCAAAAGTGGTTGCACAAGTTTGCATTCCCACCAGCAATGGATGAGTGTTCCACATACTCCACACCCTCTCCAGCATAAGCTGTCATTAGTGTTTTATTTATTTATTTATTTGTTTATAAAAATTTCCACTTCCTCCCCTCCTCCCCATACCCTCCCATTCCCCCCACGCCTCCTCCCCCCCACTCCCTCTCCTCCTCCCTCTCCAGTTCTAAGAGCAGTCAAGGTTTCATGCCCTGTGGGAAGTTCAGGTTGCTCCCCTCTCCCTCCAGGTCTAGGAAGGTGAGCATCCAAACAGACTAGGATCCTAAAAAGCCAGTACATGCAGACTGAACAAGACCCAGTGTCATTGTAAATGGCTTCTCAGTCAGCCCCCATGTCAGCCACATTCCGAGAATCTGGTTTGATCACATGCTCGTTCAGTCCCAGTCCAGCTGGCCTTGGTGAGCTCTCATTCGATCAGTCCCCTTGGATCAGTGTGTGAACGCACCCCTCGCAGTCCTGATTTCCTTTTTCATGTTCTCCCTCCTTCTGCTCCTCATTTGGACCTTGGGGGGCTCAGTCCGGTGCTCCAATGTGGGTCTCGACATCCATCGTCAGATGAAGATTCCCTCTGGTCCTGTCTATCTTGCTCACGTTTTCCCTCCTTCTGCTTCTCATTTGGATCTAGGGAGTTAAGTCCAGTGTTCCAATATGTGTCTCTGTCTCTATCACCATCCATCGCCGGATGAAGGTTCTATGGTGATATGCAAAATATTCATCAGTATGGTTATGGGCCAAGGCCAGTTCAGGCACCTTCTCCCCTGCTGCCAGGGAAGAATCTGGTAACCTCTCCTTGGGCCTGAGAACTCCTCCTGAAACAAGTCTCTTTCCAACCCTAAAATGGCTCCCTTAGTTGAGATATATACTTGCCTGCTCCCATATCCATCCTTTCTCGCCCCATCTCATTCCCCCATGCCATCCCCAATCCTCCCCCTCTCCCTAACCATCTCCCCTTACTTCCACCCCCCCACACTCCCCTCCATATGCACCCAAGTTTGCCGTGCAATCTTGACTACTTCCTATTCCAGGAGGATAACCATATGATTTTCTTCAGGTTCACCTTCTTATTTAGCTTCTCAAGGATCACGAATTATAGGCTCAAAGACCTTTAACTATGGCTAGAATCCACTTATGAGTGAGTACATACCATATTCCTCTTTTTGGGTCTGGGTTACCTCACTCAGTAAAGCGTTTTCTATGTCCATCCATTTGCATGCAAAATTCAAGATGTCATTGTTTTTTACCGCTGAGTAAAACTCTAATGTGTATATGTTCCACACCTTCTTTAACCATTCTTCTATTGAGGGGCACCTAGATTGTTTCCAGGTTCTGGCTATTACAAATAGTGCTGCTATGAACATAGTTGAACAAATGCTTTTGTGGTATGATAGGGCATCTTTTGGGTATATTCCCAAGAGTGGAATTGCTGGGTCCTGACGGAGGTTGACTCCCAGTTTCCTGAGAAACCGCTGATTTCCACAGTGGCTGCACAAGTTTGCATTCCCACCAAAAATGAATGAGTGTTCCCCTCACTCCACATCCTCTCCAGCATAGGCTATCATTGGTGTTTTTAAGTTTAGCTATTCTGACAGGTGTAAGATGGTATCTCAAAGTTGTTTTGATTTGCATTTCCCTGATGGCTAAGGAGGTTGAGCATGACCTTAAGTGTCTTTTGGCCTTTCGAAGTTCATCTGTTGTGAATTCTCTGTTCAGTTCAGTACCCCATTTTTTAATTGGGTTAATTAGAGTTTTAGTATCCAGCTTCTTGAGTTCTTTGTATATTTTGGAGATCAGACCTTTGTCTGATGAGGGGTTGGTGAAGATCTTCTCCCAGTCAGAAGGCAGCCTTTTTGTCTTACTGACAGTGTCCTTTGCTTTACAGAAATTTCTCAGTTTCAGGAGGTCCCATTTATTCATTGATTCTCTTATTGTCTGTGCTACTGGGGTTCTACTTAGGAAGTGGTCTCCTGTGCCTATATCTTGTAGACTACTTCCCACTTTCTCTTCTATCTGGTTGAAAGTGGTCAGATTAATGTTGATGTCTATAATCCATTTGGACTTGAGTTTTGTGCATGGTGATAGATATGGATCTACTTTCATTCTTCTACAGGTTGATATCCAGTTATGCCAGCACCATTTGTTAAAGATGCTTTCCTTCTTCCACTGTATACCTTTAGCTCCCTTGTCAAATATCAGGTGTTCATAGGTTTGTGTGTTAATATTCGAGTCTTCTATTGAATTCCATAGGTCAATTTCTCTGTTCTTATGCCAATACCAAGCTGTTTTCAATACTGTAGCTGTGTAATAGAGTTTGAAGTCAGGGATGGTAATGCCTCCAGAAGTTCCTTTATTGTATAAGATTGTTTTGGCTATCCTGGGTTTTTTGTTTTGCCATATAAACTTGATTAGTGTTCTCTCAAGGTCTGTGAAGAAGTTTGATGGGATTTTGATGGGGATTGCATTGAATCTATAAATTGCTTTTGGTAGAATTGCCATTTTTACTATGTTGATTCTCCCAATCCAAGAGCAGGGGAGGTCTTTCCATTTTCTTGTGTCCTCCTCAATGTCTTTCTTCAAAGACTTAAAGTTCTTGTCAAATAGGTCTTTCACTTCATTGGTCAGAGTTACCCCAAGATATTTTATGTTGTTTGTGGCTTCTTTTTTTTCTAGAGCTTTCAAGTGTGCTGTTAAGTCTCCAATATGAGTTTTCTCCATTTTCTTTAATTGGGCACTTAGTGCTATGAACTTTCCTCTTAGCACTGCTTTCATAGTGTCCCATAGGTTTGAGTATGTTGTGTCTTTATTTTCATTAAATTCAAGGAACACTTTAATTTCTTTTTTTATTTATTCCTTGACCCAGGGGTGATTTAATAGTTGACAGTTCAACTTCCATGAGTTTGTTGACTTCCTGGGGGTAGCATTGTTGTTGAATTCTAACTTTAATCTATGGTGATCTGACAAGACACAGGTGGTTACTAATATTTTTTTGTATCTGTGGAAGTTTGCTTTGTTACCGAGTATGTGGTCAATTTTTGAGAAGGTTCCATGGGCTGCAGAGAAGAAGGTATATTCTTTCCTATTTGGATGGAATATTCTATAGATAACTGTTAAGTCCATTTGATTCAATACCTCCAATAATTCTCTTATTTCTCTGCTTGGTTTCTGTCTGATTGACCTGTCCATTGGTGAGAGAGGTGTGTTGAAGTCTCCTACTTTTAGTGTGTGTGGTTTGATGACTGCCTTGAGTTCTAGAAGTGTTTCTTTTACATATGTGGGTGCCTTTATATTAGTGGCATAGATAGTCAGGATTGAGACTTCCTCCTGATGAATTGTTCCTGTTATGAGTATGAAATGTCCATCTCTATCTCTTCTGATAGATTTTAGTTTGAAGTCAATTTTGTTAGATATTAGAATGGCCACACCAGCTTGTTTCTTAGGTCCATTTGCTTGGAAAACCTTTTCCCAGCCCTTTACTCTGAGTAGATGTCTGTCTTTGTGGTTGAGGTGTGTTTCTTGTAAACAGCAGAATGTTGGATCCTGTTTTTATATCCAATCTCTAAGTCTGTGTCTTTTTATAGGTG